TGACTTTACCAAAAGAACCAAGAATATAGTACTTAACAGTGCTGTGATAAGGCCTAGTCCCATGCAGGGGCCCCGGTCTCGCGCATGCGCAGATATGTGCTTTGGCGCGTGCTCAGCATAGTAATATAATAATTAATAGTACTAAATTGTTATATCATGGGACCTCCGCCTTTTGGCGTCCTCTGGTCTATCACTGTTTGAGACTAGGCTCGAAAGAAAGCTGTCTCTGGTGTAGACCAATCAGTTTCAAGGACAATGCATATATTATCAGTGTGGTTTTTTTTTTTGCATTTTGACTGCAAGTATTGTGGTTAATGCAGACATGAATCCTTGTAAAAAGGTTTCAGTTTTGCTGCCAGAAAAAAAGGGGAACAAACCTATTATACCAGGGGTTGGGAACCTTTTTGACTGGGAGAGCCATAAACGCAATATATTTATTAATATATTTCATTGACAGCCATATAGTATTTTTAACGTATAATAAATTAAATGTCTTACTTTTAATGCGACTTCTGGTCACGGGATTCGTGACCCGAGAAATTTTATCTTCAAAACTAATTTCTGTTTACTTTAAAATGACACAGTATTATTAAGCAATATCACAAGTATTTTAAAATCAGTTCCAAACTGATTTTATTTTTATTTTTATTATTTTTTTTTTTTCAACTCAAAATTGTCTGGGAGCCATATGCCGTCACCGGAAGAGCCATATATGGCTCGCGAGCCATAGGTTCCCGACCGCTGTATTATACCATTGGAACCTCATTTGCCAGTAAAAATATGATAATTGTTTTTTTACCCTTCTATCTGGCAACAAAACTGACACCTTTTTACAAGGAGTCATGTTTGCATAGACCACAATACCTGCAGTCATAATGCAAACAAAAAATATAACTCTGATAATGTGCACTGTCCTTGAAGTTGATTGGTCGACACCTGAGACAGCTTTCCTTAGAGCCTAGTCTCACATGGGTTGGACCAGATGACACCAAAAGGTGTCAGTTTTGTTGCCAGATAGAAGGGTAAAAAACAATTATATTTTTACTGGCAAATGAGGTTCCAATGGTGTAAATGCTTACCCCGAGCTCTCATACTATGATGGTGCATTGTCTTTGATTTGTGCGCCTTTTGGCGTCATCTGGTCCAACCCATGTGAGACAAGGCTCTAAGGAAAGCTGTCTCGGGTGTGGGCCAATCAACTTCAAGGACAGTGCACATTATCAGAGTTATGTTTTTTGTTTGCATTATGACTGCAGGTATTGTGGTCTATGCAAACATGACTCCTTGTAAAAAGGTGTCAGTTTTGTTGCCAGATAGAAGGGTAAAAAAACAACAATTATCAAACCTATTATATTTTGGTACTGGCAAAGGAGGTCTAATGATGTAGATGTTTACCCTGAGCCCTCATTACTTTGATAGTGTATTGCCTTTGAGCTGTACGCCTTTTGGCGTCATCTGGTCTAGCACCAATTGAGATGAGGCTCTAAAGAAAGCTGTCTCTGGTGTGGACCAATCAGTTTCAAGGACAATGCATATATTATCAGAGTTTTTTTGTTGCATTTTGACTGCAAGTATTGTGATTAATGCAGACATGACTCCTTGTAAAAAGGTTTTGGTTTTGCTGCCAGAAAAAAGGGGAACAACCCTATTATTATGACAATGCATATACTATCAGAGCATGTTTTTTTTGTTGCATTTTGACCACAAATATATATAGTGTTTATGCAGAAATGATTCCTTGAAAAAGGTTTAAGTTTGGTGTTTTAACATCTTAACACCAGTTTTGTTGCCAGAAAAAAAATGGGAAAACCTATTCTTATACTAAATTGTTAATTTAACTTCTTTAAAGTTGACGGACGCAAAATACGATTAGCGCTGGCTCACCACGGGGCTTATCGCATGGTACCCGGGTACTTTTTTAAATCCTTTATATTAAGTTCGCTTGCTTGCTTGCTTGCTTGCGTGCTTGCTTGCTTACGACCGTGCAAACCTTTCGGTCATTTTTTAACCCACTTCCCGTGATCCAATCGAGCTGACATTTTGCACACAGGCTCGTTGTGTGAGACAATTAATGTTCGTGAAATTTTTTTTCCAAAATGTTACACTGTTTAGGGAAAACAAATTAAATATTTAATTACCAATTGTTTAATACTGCAGACAATCATCTGACCCATAGGTGGCAGCCATCTCAAGCCAGAGGACGAGAGGACTCTAGCCGCCACGCATATAAAGGATTTAGAGTGAAAAACTTTGTTTTTACGGGTTATACTTATTTAAACGTCAACTCCACGGTTCGCGAGTCAAATCTGCCACAAGTTTCGTATACAGACAGACGTACAGAAAAACAGACAAAAAATACCTGTATAGGCAAGAGATGATGACCCATGTGAAATGTATGTGGATTTAAGAGTTTGTCTTTGTGGGGAGCTGTGGCGCAGTTATTTCACTGCATTATGAATTCAACAATTAGTTTGATTATCGCCGACAGCAAACACGATTAATAAGTGAAAGCTGGACTTTTTATGGTCCTCTGCTATGTTGATTGATCTTAAATTAATTACATGGTGAAGTGAGGAAGCATTAATACTGAGCAGATCAAGGTGGCCAGGCATGGTTCTGGACACCACCACCTTTTTATAATGCCAGTGTGTGACAGTGTCAAGTTTGTATTTGCAGTAAAGTATATTAACTATTGAACACGGAGGTTAAATCAAAACAATAGCTTATTTTTGTTTTCCTCTGGAACTTTTTGTAAGAATGGAAACAGTCAGGAAATTAACACAGCATATATGCTGCTGAAGTTATATCTGTTCATCCAAGCATTCAAGCAAATCAGCCTGGCTTCACACCTCTAAGTTGTGATTGGACATTAATTTATGCATTTCTGCATAATACAAATAGTATTATTTTCAACAGCCGTTGCTATGTTAACTGAATTTTGCTCTCATTGTGTGCCTTAACAGCCCGTGTGATGGATTGGGGAATATCTTTAATATATGAATAAATATAGACATGTAAGTTATGTGTGACTATGTATATATATTTATTCCTCTGTGCCTCGATACTGACGTAGATGGTGTGGATATTTTTTCTGTCTGCAGCTGACGCTTCTTCCGACGCTTCCTCAGCAGAATTGGTCTGATGGAGCAGAGGCACTCGGCGCAGCTCGGTAGAAAAAGGCAACAATGTGACCAGTGTGCATACAGCACGGATCGTGCTGGAAATTTGACACAGCACCAGAAAACTCACACAGGAGAGAAACCCTTCAAGTGCACTGTGTGTGAGAAGGCATTTGCAGTGTCAAGATATCTTAAAAAACACCAGAAAACGCACACAGGAGAGAAACCCTTCAAGTGCACTGTGTGTGAGAAGGCATTTACAGTGTCATCAAATCTTAAAACACACCAGAGAACACACACAGGAGAAAAACCCTTCAGGTGTAGTGTGTGTGGGAAGGCATTTTCAGATCCATATGTTCTTAAAAAACACCAGAGAACACACACGGGAGAGAAACCCTTCAGGTGTAGTGTGTGTGGGACGGCATTTTCATATTCATCTGTTCTTAAAAAACACCAGAGAACACATACGGGAGAGAAGAAACCCTTCAGTTGTAGTGTGTGTGGGAAGGAATTTTCAGATTCATTCGCCCTTAAAATACACCAGAGAACACACACGGGAGAGAAACCTTTCAAGTGCACTGTCTGTGAGAAGGCATTTGCAGAGTCATCAGTTCTTCAGATCCACCAGAGAACACACACAGGAGAGAAACCCTTCAAGTGCAGTGTGTGTGAGAAGGCATTTGCACAGTCATCAAATCTTAAAACACACCATAGAACACACACAGGAGAGAAACATTTCAAGTGCACTGTGTGTGAGAAGGCATTTGCACAATCATCAAATCTTCAGAGGCACCAGAAAAAACACACAGGAGATAAACCCTTCAAGTGCACTGTCTGTGAGAAGGCATTTGCATGGTCATCAGGTCTTCAGATCCACCAGAGAGCACACACGGGAGAGAAACATTTTAAGTGCAGTTTGTGTGAGAAGACATTTTCAAGTTCATTTTGTTTTAAAAGGCACCAGATAAGACACACAGGAGAGAAACCCTTCACGTGCACTCTGTGCGGGAAGCCCTTTTCAGATTCATCACATCTTAAAAAACACCAGAGAACACACACAGGAGAGAAACCTTTCAGGTGCACTCTGTGCGGGAAGCCCTTTGCAGATTCATCACATCTTAAAAAACACAGGAGAATGCACACAGGAGAGAAACCCTTTAAGTGCACTGTCTGTGAGAAGGCATTTGCATGGTCATCAGATCTTCAGACCCACCAGAGAACACACACAGGAGAGAAACCCTTCAAGTGCACTGTCTGTGAGAAGGCATTTGCATGGTCATCAGGTCTTCAGATCCACCAGAGAACACACACGGGAGAGAAACGTTTCAAGTCCAGTTTGCGTGGGAAGGTATTTTCAGGTTCATCTCCTCATCAACGGCACCAGAGAACACACGTGGGAGAGAAACCCTTCAGGTGCCTTTTGTGCGATAAAGTATTTGCAAAGTCATCAGATCTTGAAAAACACCAAAGAACACACAAAGGAGAGAAACCCTTCAGGTGCACTTTGTGCGGGAAGCCCTTTGCAGATTCATCACATCTTAAAAAACACCAGAGAACGCACACAGGAGAGAAACCCTTCAAGTGCACTGTGTGTGAGAAGGCATTTGCATGGTCATCAGATCTTCAAATCCACCAGAGAACACACACAGGAGAGAAACCCTTCAAGTGCACTGTCTGTGAGAAGGCATTTGCATGGTCAACAGGTCTTCAGATCCACCAGAGAACACACACAGGAGAGAAACCCTTCAAGTGCACTGTCTGTGAAAAGGCATTTGCATGGTCATCAGGTTTTCAGATCCACCAGAGAACACACACGGGAGAGAAACGTTTCAAGTCCAGTTTCTGTGGGACCGTATTTTCAGGTTCATTTAATCTTCAAAGGCACCAGAGAACACACACAGGAGAGAAACCCTTCAAGTGCAGTGTGTGTGGGAAGGCATTTTCAGATGAATCACATCTTAAAATACACCAAGGAACACACACAGGAGAGAAACCCTTCAGGTGCACTCTGTGCGGGAAGCACTTTGCAGATTCATCACATCTTAAAAAACACCAGAGAACGCACACAGGAGAGAAACCCTTCAAGTGCACTGTCTGTGAGAAGGCATTTGCATGGTCATCAGGTCTTCAGATCCACCAGAGAACACACACAGGAGAGAAACCCTTCAAGTGCAGTGTGTGTGAGAAGGCATTTGCACAGTCATCAGTTCTTCATCGACACCAGAGAACACACAGGCATCAGAAGATCCCCAAGGAGTGTAGTCTGAAATCGACTTTTGAAAGTCAAAGTGCTGCAATGAGCCCATCCCTCCTGAAAAAAGAACCAGAAGTGAATTCCGGCCTGGACATTATGAAATGTTTAAAGGTGAAATTTGAAGAGGTGACAGTGAAGAGCGAAGAAGTGAAGGTAAAATGTGAAGATGTGATGAAGAGCGAAGAAGTGATGGTAAAATGTGAAGATGAACATTCAACTCCAAAATCAGACTTTCACATCAATGGAGGCAACGTGAAGCAGGAGGAGAATTCTGACTGTGAGGCAGAGCGAGGCAACTCCCAGCAGTTTGTGGAAGTGGAGGTGTGGGTGGACTTCTTAGACAATACAAAGTCAAATGGCGACCCTGTAGATGTGTAAGCTTGAGACAATGAGGCTCCAATAGATTCACCTTTGTCACAGGCCTTTAATGAAAAGAACGTGAAGTTGAACACTCCATTCCTAAGTTCAACCTGCAGAGTAAGAGCGGCCAGTATTGGCGGACCTGTGGGTTGGGTAGATCTCTAACTAGGAGCCAGAGCCAATATGCTCCCAAGCTTTCACTATGTTATTATAATATTAACATGTATATGGTGCTTGCTTATTCGCCTCAACAACTCGGAGTTTTGTATCATATCTCATCAAAAACACTCGAAGCCTTTTGGCGTCCTCTTGTCGAAAATGGTTTGATACTAGGCTCGAAAGAAAGCTGTCTCTGGTGTGGACCAATCAGTTTCAAAGACAATGCATATATTATCAGTGTTTTTTGTTTGCATTCTGACCCCAAGTATTGTGGTTAATGCAAAAAGGTTTCAGTTTGGTGTTTTAACATCTCAACACCTGATTTGTTGCCATAAAAAAGGGGAAACATATTCTCACTCAAAGAGCAAGTTGTATATATAACCAAGTAATTATGAAAGTATTAGACCTATAGTCATTCAGAAGTGATACAATGCGAATGGGTCAAGCACACACGACCAAGATAATATGTATTCCACAGGATCAGAGCCTCATCAACAGCCTTTGGCCTCCAGTAGCTAACAGCACATGGTAGCAGTAAATTATGTATGCAGCGGGGCGCCTCCCCCTAATATATCATATACCATGCAAGAATTCCAAACCGCGACGTGAGTGCAGTGAACGCTGCTCAAAACGTACTTGGAGTCACTTGCAGAGTCAAAACTATGGAAAGTGATACGGTTCCAAGCTATAAGAGGTGTAAAATAAAAAATGTTTTGCTTCCAACCCGTGATGAGAGAACGGAATACATGGCGACAGCAAGCACACCCGTGCACAATAGGTCACTACTTCAAAGGCCACAGCACCCCTTTTTGAGAAACACTGCAAGTCTCATGCGAAAAAAATGTAACACAACCCGTGATGGGAGCGTGGGGTATGCTGCCCAAAACATGAACAGAAACATGGCGGTAATATAGACATCTGGACAACAAACAGCCCAAGCGACTTCAAAAGGAAAACAGCTGCCCCTTCATGAGAAGAAAGAGCCTGAGGTGAAAAAATTCAGATATAAGCAAGAATGCAAGAACAGAAATCAGTACTACTCAAATAATTGCCCCACTGCGACTGGAGAAGTCCGAACCATCAAGCACATCACCGTTGAATGCTCCATCTATGCACATCCTGGTGGTATCGCTGAAATCCACACTGCGTCAATCACATCTTTGGACTGGATGAGTAACCTCTGCAATCATTTATGACGATCATTAAAAATAAAAACTTTCTTTTCACAATGCCATACTAAAGAATAAGAAGTACTGCGAGTGGCAGGCTCCAGGGATTGCTCTCAGGACTGGCAAGTTGATAGGGAGCTCTGCATCAGCAGAAGCCACGCATCACGGAGAGTTTTTTTGCGTCATTGAGAGAGGCTGCCAGCCAAGGTTGGTGCTCGCAGGATTATAATACAAATGTGGGGGAGTGCCGTAGCATTACTATTCCCGGTGGCGAGGTTGCTGTGTACAGCCAACACATAGATCATAGTGACAATCGTTCCAATTGTGCTCCGATCAAAGTCAACCCTTCGAGGGAAAGCTGGTGCAACCACTATTCGTGAGAGTGCCCCTTTAAATCGCAACCCACAGACGAAGTTTAGTTGAGGATCGGATCAGAGACTGACACGGAACGATATAACTTGATCTGAAGCGTGTCCTCTGTGTAGCACGAGTCGTACAGACAACTGGAAGAGGACGCTTGAAAAGGGGGGGGGGGGGGACGACAGGCGCTGTCTCTCCAAGTCGCTCCACAGTCTACAAGGATCAAAAGTATCTGGTGCCAATGGGGGTGACGCGTGTCAACCAGCTGACGAGCTGCAAGCGGTGTCTGGCGACGGGATCATCGCGCACATCTATGGAGACGTAGCCGGACCCATCATCCCTGCCAGCACGGGCACCGCCGACAGCGTGACCAGCGTGCCAACTCGGGCAACCACCTCAGCGGTGGAGAAAGACTGACGAAGCAGCCGAGAACGCCGTGTTCACACACACGCCGACCCAGCGCCCCTGCTGGGGACCTGAGGAATTTTCGGTACAAGGAACGCAGCACCTCGGAAGTCGCTAACTCAACAGTTAGCAAGAAGACAACACACCCACACACATCCGCGCATATTGGTACTAATAAGATTCTTCCAAAAAACATTTGTGGTGTGTTAAATATTAGTTGAATGTGAAAAGCATTGTTCTGTCCCTTGAGTTACGTGAATACCGTCATTTAGAAGTATTTTAGCCATATGTTTTCATTAATTGCATAACCTTATCAATTCATTGATGACACACTAAACATTTATAAGCATCTATGTTAGGAATATACACACAGGAATACTATTGTGTTGAGATTTTTCTTTTGATCACAGAATCTTGCCCGCAAATTCATTAATGTCCCATTCGCCAATTTATAAGCATCTGTTAGCCAAACAGGCACACTAGCACTCACTATTGTTTCAGGACATTTCGTTAATGACATAATCTTACCAATGAATTCATTGATGTCTACTTTTGCCGTTGGGCACATGTTTCTTTAGCACGTTTCATATGAGTATTGTGAATTTTTACGGATTTTTCCTATCGCTGTGTATGGTTGCTCTACTCGGAGGAGTTAACCGATTGTTCTGTTACTCAATTATAACAAACGTAACCATTGAGGGTTAATGGTACAGATTAATGAGTAGGACATCTTCAGGAGTATGGTGTTGACAATTCCGATCATAAGTGTGTTCACCTATTAGAGTGTTTTTAGATATTAAAGTTGCTTAACATAGAAGAGTCTGAGTGGCTCCTTCCTAAGTTCATCTTTTTTTCTTATATATAAAAGTCTCCGTGCGCTCGCTTGCGAGGGATTTGGCTCTCAAACGATGGGGTTTATATCGAAACTTTTTTGCCAGCCAGCACGCCCTAAGCCCCGCGGTAGGAATAGGCTACAGTAAAACCTTGGTATACTCGTTTGTTTTTTCGGTAAAGTAACGTATGTAGAAATAAAATAAAAATTTAACTAACTAAAATTAAATTAAAATAAATCACGACGTTTAGAACGCAACACAAGCGATCATCAGGTGGAAATGGGGTGAAGCACATAGCGAGGGAATACATAGGGGGACATCACGCACATTGCATATAGAGAACGGTAAACTGCACAGAGGCAAATACAACAAGAAGATGGGAGACGAGAAACCCAACAAACCTTTGAAACATAATGTGATGCAAAACCAGTTGGCCAACAACACAGACACCAACCTGGTTGGCCACGAATTTCAAAAGACTGCTAAATTTCTGGTTAATCTTCTGGGTTGAACATGCCAACATAGACAGAGTGAACAGATATGAGGTACAAGGTAGCAGAGATACATATACAGAGAAGAACACAGGGAAATATGTTTTGGGCAGCACAGAGGGACAACCAGAATAACACCACACCAAGAGACACACACATGGAGACGCACGTAGAAAGATGCCTGGCTACCACATTCTGATGAGCCCCCCCCCCCCTCTCCTCCCCCCTCAACTCGCTTTTAAGGGATTACATCTTGAATCATTGCCTCACTTGATGCAGCTAATCTGGCTGTGACTGTCCCACCTGATGACGGAGACTTGTGTTGCCTCCGAAACGTCGTGATCTTTATTTTATTTTATTATTTTTATTAATTTTGATGTTTTACCTACGTGACTTTACCGAAAACACCTAAGAATATGATTCCTTGCAGTCACGAAAGCTTCAAGTCTAGAATGCCTGGAGAGATAACATACGGGGAATTATATAGGCTGTAGAGATGGGGGGGAGGGGCTAAGAGAAAACAACAAAACGTGGGAAAACAATAGGAGACCTATACTAAGGGAGCACATGGGGAAACGAAAAGGGGCACAAAACAGAAACGCAGGGAAAAAACCGAAACGGAGACAGACTACGGTAAACAAAAAACGAAGCAAATTGCAGCACGTAGAGATGCATACCAAGAGAAGACGAGGCAAGATGTTGTACAGATAACCACGTGTGTGTGCATAAAGCATTTTTTATTTTATTTTGTGTCAAAGTGTAGTGACTGTTCTTTAGTAACTGTACTGCAACAATGCTTTTTGCCTCCTCAAAAGGAGGCAAAAGCAAGTATCATTGGATAGGTTCCTTGTTAAAGTCGCACAAAAGAAAAATATTCCAGTGAGCCAACAGATGGCAGTGATTTCGTTAGTGACAGTGAAAGCCGTCTACACAATAACCCTCCTCTCTCGTTTCCCTCACACCAGCCACGTAAAATGTAATTAATAAATTGGATTACTTTATATTAAAATTAAATAATAAAAATATAAAAGGTATTTTGTATTAATAATTTTACATGAATAATTTTGGGTTGTGGAACGAATCATCTGAGTTTCCATTATTTCTTATGAGGAAATTCGCTTTGATATACGAGTGCTTTGGACTACAAACACGTTTCCGGAATGAATTATGCTCGCAATCCAAGGTTTTACTGCATTTCTTTTTCACGTGCGTAACCTTTAAATGAGTTAAATTAGTGCGTTTTTGCATTATTTATTTATCTCCACGCCCCGCCCAAGCTGCAGGGGGGTTTGCCCCTAGCAACGCACGCGCATCATCGGTGGAGGCTGGGGGGGGATTTCTCCTTCACGTTCAGAATGCACAAAAGATACACGCAACTCTGACGGTAGTGTCATGTCCTCTTCTCTCCCCCCCCCACCCCAATGTGTGCACTTACTATTTTAGGGTCGTTACATACCAATATAGCGCTTAGATAGGTTTCTTGTAGGAATTGTCAGCAGCCGGGGCGTTCAGGGCCTGTGAGTCTGTGGGAGCCAAAAACAGGTCCCTTTTGGGGATCAACCGGCAACCGAGGTGGCACATCGGACACATCAGACCCCGGCAGGGTAGTCAATGGGGATGAAGGATCAACGCGCGGAGCAAAGAAGGGTTTCAACCGATATGTGTGGACGTATCAACGGCGTGAATCCGCCCAGATACGCACACATTGAGGGTTGCGTGTGTCTATCAATTCGACAGGCCCTTGCCATGGCCTGTGCAGCTTGGAAGAAGTACGCATCGGCACCTGGGGGCAATGGAGCCAGGCCTGGTCGCCCACAGCCCACGGGCATGTCGCAACGCGACCGATGAGCACATCGCTCGTTACGGGCCTGGGTTTTGACCGTGGCAATTCGTGCTGCCTCCCGTGCTTCTGTGACATGGCGAATGGAATCGCGGACGTATTCGAGGAGGGTCAGCGCGGGCCCCTTAGTGGTCGCTCCCAATTATACGCCAATCGGTGGCACGTTCTCCCGACCATACATGAGGAAGAACGGCGAGTATTTTGTAGAAGCATGCGGGGCCATGCGGTAGGCGGAATGCACGCTAGGATTGTGAAGGTCCCAATCAGCCTGCTTTTCGCTTACAGTGTGACAAAGCATGGCAGACAAGGTACGGTTCAATTGTTCTACCATTCTCTCCGTTTGCGGGTGGTAACGCGAAGTGCGTATCTTTTTGGTGCCCAAAGCATCACACACATTACGCAGCAACTTGGATGAGAAATTTTGGCCTTGGTCCGTAAGCAACCGTTCCGGTACACCTTTGTCCATCACGTAACCGTTCAAAAATGCATCCCTGATGGACGATGCCGATTAATCAGGCAAGGGCCAAGCCATCGGCCAACGTGAAAAATATTACACCCCCACTAACAAGAATTGTTTCCCCTGGCGGGAGGAGGAAACGGCCCGAGTATATCGAGAGCCACCAATTCATGAATTCACGTAACTTTAATCGATTTCAAGGGTGGAATATATTTCTGAAGCGGTGGTTTCCGCCGAGCGCATTTGGGGCAGGCCTGAATAGACTTGGCAACATTGGCTGTCATGCCGGACCAAAAGTAATCCCTCTGCATCGTGAATAAGTTTTTCTGCACGCCGAGGTGCAACAATTTTTCAGCGTGCAGCGCCCGAATCCGCTCGTGCCATAGCGCGACGGGAACCACCAGACACCTACGGCCCAACAGAACAAAATTCAGAACGAAACGACGGTAGTAGGACACGAACCCGACAAACCGACGCACATCCCCCACTGACATGGGGATTGGCCAGTCACGGATGCAATAGGTTTTGTCTGGGTCCGTGGCGACGCCGTCGGAGCTGACAATGTGACCTAAGTAGCGCACGGAGCGTTG